AAAAAAAAAAAAAAAAAAAAACCACAAGAAAAACATTGCTCTATAAACCTTAAAACGTAATAAAAAAATTGATATTTTGCATATGGAAGCATTGTAATATTTACTGATAATGTGCCAAATTTCATTAACATTCGCTTACTAATTTAAAAGTTATAGTATGAAAAATATAACAAGCACAAAATGGTTACGAGGTCGGTGACAGGGACTGAGCCCGCACTGAAAGAGTTAAACAGAGAAAGAAAATCATGTGAGAAACAAATAAATATATATATATCATCTCAATGAATAATAGTTTCTTAAATATAAACCTATACTTTGGGATGGGCAAAAAAATTCCAAAATAATCTATAAATACATTGTTTACAGATGAGACTCCACAGAGTTATGTAAAAAATGAAATTGAAACATTTCTAACTTCTTTTTGAAAATTACACTTAACAAATGTTAAAGAATGAAAAAAATGGCAGTTCTCAAACATTTTTGCATTAAAAAGTATTGAAATTTGATATCCAGTGTTCAGTTTAATATTTGTTTACACACATTATTTTTTATTAAATTGAAAAAGTTTACTAATATCTTCCTAACATTCCCTCATCTTATTTTAATACTTTACAAAAGTAATTTACTGTTGAAGAAACACCACTTACATTGCCAAAGTCAATATAAAAGACATGAACAATGTTTCCAGCCACTTTCTCTATACGAGCTCGATACCACTGATCATCCACAAACTTGGAAGCACATAAGACACCTTTCTTCGGTGTAAAGGAACCAGGGAGAGGAGGATTGGAGGCCAATTCCTCTCGCAGCTTGCCCATCATTTCCTCAAGCCGTGGACCTAAAGTGTTAAGAGTTTTAACATTAAAAGGTTTTGAACTAAAACACCCCCAGAAAATAGCAATTCTTCACAAAAAAACAAATTTCTGTTTAAACAGTAATATTCACAGATTATCCTTACTATAATTAGGGTGAAACTCCACTCATTAGTACATCACTTAAACAACTACTGGAAATAAAAATGAACAAGTTAATTACTGTATTATTACTAAGGTCTATATCATTAAAATTACTGTGTACAAACTAGTTATTTTCTTTTAACCATAAAAAACTGAAAATATAGATGTTTGTTTCTTTTTATTACTAGATTCTTTGAACTTAACAATCAGACTCGCACTCAGAGGTGTAGTGCTGCCAAAGTGCATTGGAACACCATTCAGCTACCTGTAATTTGAGCTGGGTCCCAATACTTTAAAATATAAAAATATGCATATAAAAATGATTTATTCAGTTTCACCTAAAATTAAGCATTTTTCATAAAAAAACTCCAGAGAATCAGAGAACACTCTGACTTCTGTGATCCCTTGTGTCCGCTGGTAGAGCTCTAACAGACCACCCAGCACGCACACACTGCCACTTTCCCTCAGGAGTTGGCATCAGACATCATGTGACTACTTTGACTGAAGAGCAGGTGTTATTGTTAAAATGTTTTTGTAATCCATTACACGGTTGTTGAAACATTTTATAAAATACATATCACAATCATATTACGTGTTTAAAATATAAACATTTTTAAAAAGCTTATTATTTATATAATAAGTTATTTGTGTTGGTAGGACAGGAGGTGTGAAGAGCATTATAAAACTCAAAGTTATTAATACTGTTTGCAAACTATTGCCATTAAAATTGAAGTTGAAGACTAAAGGTGTTGTTTATATGACCCTTTTCTTTCTTTTGCTGCTTAATTTAAAGTCGCAAGCTTTCTCTTGGTAATACACGTGTATTCAATTTATTACTAATTTAAGTATTCTCAAATAATTAGAGCTCCATATATTTTCTTCAGTTCCAATGGACTCATAATAATGAGAATTAGGTTTCGAATTTGAGACCTCTACTCTATCTGACAAATTTTTACAGAGCTCCAGCACTATAAAATTTAGCACTGCACTACTTCTCACACTGTTTTAAACTTTTCAGATATACACAGTTTTCACAATGTCACTGTTATGAACATAAACAGAAATATTAAACAGGATAAATCAAGAAAGGAGCTTACCTTCTTCCACATGTTGTGCATAGAAGTTCAGATTTGGTCGGACTTCAGTGATGATGATAGATCTGTAATTGATCTTCCTTTCAACATTATCTTCCTTTTTCTCTTCCTCTTTTGGTTCCTCAAATCCTGTCCATATCTTATAAAAACAAAACTACATTTTTTTCACATTTCCTTTACAGTTATTTCAAATACACTACATAAATTGATGGATGAAGAATTTCACATCTTCCAAGATAAAATATTATCCCCCTTCTCAGCAACTTGTTCAGAGCTAAATGACATTTCAAACACTTGTGTTCAATATGAGAATTTTATATTACGTTTAATGTTACATTTTCAACCAGTTTACTTGCATGGGAACAGTTGCACAAAACATTTTCTGGCTAATATAGCAATAGTGAGCATAGTATACATAGTTTTTTTTGCATTAGGTCTACTAAAGTCAGATTAATCATTTAGTTAAAATAAATGTTCAATCAATTTCAAGTATCAGCAAATACAATTTTCTATCAATATAAATCTCCCAAGTGACTAGATTTATCATGTTAAACTAATTCCAGGAATAAATTAGGTAATCACATGCACACCTTTTTGAAAATCAGCTTGGTATAGAATGGGTTAAGTTTACAGTTTTTAATATATCATGTGAAAATATCCACTGTTGTAAAAAAAAATATCTGGTAATAATGATAACAATAATTTTTTTCAGACCTTTTTTCAGAGTTACATTCAAAATTTAATCAAATGTATATGAATAAATTTGGCATCAAAATGCAGTTAATAAATCAAATTTTATATGTTTTACTTCCTTAGTTTTAAAAGGAAATATTTAAAAACATCATTAATTCCCCTCTGTATGAGAATTGTGACATTCTCTAGGTCTTACCCATTCTCTCATTTATCACACCTCTCTGAAGTAGAGAATTTAATGTAAATTACTCATTATAATATACATATTACTAAGGCAGAGTCTAATTTTTATAGCCTTCAATCTTCTCTGTTTATTGAGGTATAACTAAAAAATCAGACCCACTTGCCACACCCACCCATCTATTATATCATTTGTGACCAAAAGAAAGAGAGAGTTTTAATCTATCAAATGATGTATTATATTTTGTTGTTTTCAGTGCAGAGTATTGTCTATTTTACCTTCACTTTCAAAGTTTCTCCCAAGTTGTTCAAATTGAGAAGTTTAGGGAATTATTCTGAGGCTCTTAATGCCATAGTTAGAAAACTAGTTAAATTATAATAGTTATGGGACATTGTTTGCTTTGTGACAATTATTTTGTGTTTTAGGTGACTATTTAAGTAAATATAAATTCTTTAGTGTGGTACCATCATTATAAAAAAGTAGGCTTAAATTTTACCACTATCCAAGAGCAAAAACAATAGGTCAAAGGTAAGTACTATATTTCTTGTTTTTCATGTATATTCTTTGTTTACTATTATAAAAGTAACTAAAATGTAAAAATTAAGAACTTATTAGGTTAGGTAAGATAATGAAAAAAAATTCTTCGGAAAGTATGCTTGCAAGTGTTCATGTGTTATGCCCTTCAATACACTAATGTGAGCTACATGTTCACTGAGTGATTTACAACTTGTATAGTGGGATTATTAGTCAGACACAGTGCAAAGGGCAATAAACAATAAAATTAGTTTCATGTTACAATTTGAAGTCATTCTAGAAAGAAAAAGGTAATTTAGATTTATTTCATATTTTTTTATGGTGGTTACAAGGTTGGTCATATCGACACAGTCCATATATAGTTAGGGTAGAGAAAAGAACAGATAAGATATAAAGTTTTACTGAACAAAAAGCATTTGATATTTATTTATGAAGTTTTACAGGTTATGCAAGTGAAATTTGAAAATTTCAGATGAAGTATTTTTAATCTTAACAAGAAAATCACTTTGCACTCAAAGTAGTCAATAATCTGACTCCGTATAGTTACAGATAAATCTTTAGCAAAAATATTTCATTAAAAAATCTTAATTTTAGTGTACGAAAGACATGTAATGTTTACTGATAGCTTGCCAGATTTTGTGAAAATACACAAAAAATATTAAAAGTTATAGTATGAAAACTGATGGTTACAAGGTCAGTCACATCGACAAATCCCATATGGAAAAAGAGTTAAAGATTTTAAATCATGTATCTATTGTTCTATATTTTAAACCATCTATTAATTTTTCCCTTCATAATATCAAAATGTCAATGCACCACCTGGCAAGGTGTTAACCGTTAGTGTGTGAAATTTCATGATAATGTATATACAGCCAGTATATTTATACAACCAGTTTTATGTAGTCTACCTCTACAGTTATACATTTTTGTATATTCATACACAGCCAATTTCATGTAATCTTCCACATACAACCAGTTTTATGTAGTCTACATCTACCTCTACGCCAACATTTGCTGTAGGAAACAAGTGTTTTGTATATACATTCACAGCCAGTTTCATGTAGTCTCTCTCTCTACGCCAACATTTGCTGTAGGAAACAAGTATTTTGTATATTCATACACAGCCAGTTTCATGTAGTTTCTCTCTACACCAACATTAGCTGTAGGAAACAAGTGTTTTGTATATACATACACAGCCAGTTTCATGTAGTCTCCCTCTACACCAACATTAGCTGTAGGAAACAAGTATTTTGTATATTCATACACAGCCAGTTTCATGTAGTCTCTCTCTACACCAACATTAGCTGTAGAAAACAAGTGTTTTGTATATACATACACTGCAAGTTTCATGCAGCCTCCCTCTACACCAACATTAGCTGTAGGAAACAAGTATTTTGTATATTCATACACAGCCAGTTTCATGTGGTCTCTCTCTACACCGACATTAGCTGTAGAAAACAAGTGTTTTGTATATACATACACTGCAAGTTTCATGCAGCCTCCCTCTACACCAACATTAGCTGTAGGAAACAAGTGTTTTGTATATTCATACACTGCAAGTTTCATGCAGTCTCTCTCTACACCAACATTAGCTGTAGCAAACAAGTGATTTGTACATGTTTATACATTCATACTTACAGGATTATACGTTGCTCTGTTGCATGTCAAGATATGACATATTAAGTAATACTGAAAACTTAATACTTGATGGTAATATTTAAGAACTACAGAACAGACCAATTACCCCTGAAGTTTTCAAGTTGGAAAAAAACCCAGACATAACAGTATTACCATTTGTCAGATAATCATTAACTATATGAATTGTTTGTATTTTGAGAAAATATATATTCTTAAAACAAATTTGAAATCACAATTTTATTTCACTTTAAAGATGTCATTCGTAAGAATAAGCAGTCATTGATCATGTAAAAATAGCATGCATGGGATCCTCCACTAGGTGGTTGTCTACTCACAAAAAATAGAATCAAACATCATGCAGCACAGGTTGACAGAATGTAATGTCACAGTGACAAAGGATAACTATGTGTTAATTAAAAAGCTGAGGATGAGCAGTGACTTACAATTTGAGAGGATAATGACTTCTAAACTGAAGCCCACTTTTAACCAACAGAATGTTCTGCTTCTACATTTTCCTTCAAAGCACTGGTTATATTTCAACAAATTCAATACATATAAGAACTTGATACTGACTCAACTTTCTGGAGTACATATGACTTTGAAGACTACAGTTAACTAATCTTACCACAAAATTAACAATGGATAAGAAAAATTCCAATGCGATGAAAAGAATTAGCCCAAGTTGCAGGATGAGTATTACAGCATTTTAACTATAGATTAATAATTACTCAATTGTCCACTTAAAAGCTTTATATATATATATATATAAAGAAAAAATAGATAAAACTTTTACGGGAACAGTTGAGGAATTAATGGCATTTTAAATCACAAAATTCACATAAATGAATTGGCACTTGTTATTTACCTTTAAAAGTATTTGTAAAAATTCACATGAGCTTCCATGTTCAAATATTTCAGATAAAAAGTGTTCAGCATGAGGCTAAAAGCTCTGAACAATGAGGTACATACCTTATCACCTCTCTTTTTTGCTGCATCTTCAGCTATCTGCAGTGCATTGTAGTACGAGCTACGTTCAGCTGTAAAGTGAACAGATGCAAGTCCTTCTTGAACTAGTGTTACAGATAAGTTGATGTTATCAATCCACATCCAGCCAATAAAGTTTCCAGCTTTGTCCATGGTTTCAACTTCAATTTCCACCTACAATAAAAATGAAGAAAAATTACTTACAAACCCATCTCTAACAGCAGTAGAAAATAGAAATTAAATTCTTACTTACTAAATGTACATCTTTAAAAAGTAATTCACTATAATTATACAACTCTGGGACTGACACCATAAAAGAAATACAATGTACAGTATTTTCAGTATTTCACAAATTCTAGCACTTTTGCATACAGAAGCTACTACAGTTTTATTAACAGTATAATGGAGGTACACCGTATACCATTCAGTAGAAAATTGGTTTACACGAGTGTTAACACGGGCTGTAACAATGTATTTGAAAGGGCTAAGCACCTAAAATTTGGTTCTCAGTATGGAACAAAAAAAACTGTTCCTTATATAGGAATCCAAAGCATGTTTTTGATTATGATATGGTTGATAAGTACCCCAAACTTTCAGCTGAGCAGATGCTCACACAATTAGAATCAGACAATCTACACGAGTACAAATTTACATCAATTTCTGAGATAAAGAGCTATGTGACTCAACTGTCTGCTAAGGAGAAGCAGTAAACATTACTGATTAACTGTCAGAATAGCACTACACAACAAGGCAAATGTTTCATGAACAATGTAGGATTGAATGGAGAATTTTTTGCATGTGATAAAGCATAAAATGAAACTGTAACGAATAATCTAGTAACAAACTTGAAAGTTTACACTGATATCACGATACTGCCAAAACTAGTGATAGTAATAACACTACCAATTTGTCAACATTAACGATTAGGCAACAAGGTATAGAAGAATGACCTATTTGACCATTTCACTGTATTTATATTTTGTATTCATGGTAGATAGGCTTAGTAGCTTTGTCTATTAATGTGGATGATAGGTAGTAGGGTGCTGATTAACTATCATTCTTATAACTAACCCATAGCCTAAAGTGAGGGAAAAATTTTGTGGTGTCACAGAAATTTAAATTTGCCTCACCAGTTCCAAACTCCAGTGCTATATCATGTGGCTAACTTGCACCACCATTTCATAGGGCTGTTGGGTAACTTAAATTTTAAACATAGTCATTTGGTTGTGGGCACAACCATCCAACACCAAAAAAACATTTGCAACAAACCAGCAAATTTCATCATGTTTCATGCTTAACAGATGCCAAAGATGATTGGTAAACTGCCTACATTTTGTTGATTTATTTTATCAGTATAATTTCTCTACTTTATATTTAACATTTTGGATATTTTCCATTTCTGGAAAAATAAGCTCTGATTTTTTATCATTTACAATAACGTATCCCCATTATAAAGGTACTACAAAATATGTACGTGCAATATAAAATAAATATGGCATGTTTCAGAAAAGATCTGTCTCTGCCCCCTCTATCCTGTCTCTTTCTCTCCTCCCCGATTTTTATTGGGAAGGAAAAACTGTTTTGGTAGTGGTGGTGGATTTATCTCTAAAACCTCCTTTGGTCAATGGTCCTTTATGTGTTGTGCACACATGTACATCTGCACAGTACATTCAGCATTTCAGCAATTTTAAGAATTTTGCTTCTTTTTTTAGCAGGTCTGTTTGAGTCACTGAATAATTAAAAATAATGAAGTCAAACACCACAATCTAAAAGACTACATCATTTAATATGTGCAATTCCATGCATAAAGAGAATTTTTTTCAATCCAAACAAATTATGTCTTGAATATAAAGCATCTCAAACTCAATAAACTTAAGATATAGTAATAATAATTACTGTATGTGGAACAAATGAATATGCATTTTTATAAAATATATTCAGTGAATAAAGTATTAGTTAATACAAGCATATTTATACTTACGTGTTATCCGTCCAATTACTTGCATTTTACAAGTAATACAATTTTATCAATGTAACTCAGTTGAACTTATATCATCTCTCTTATTATTACCCCTAAAAAATTGGGGGGGGGGGATAATCTAGTTTGGCCATTGGACAGAGGATAAGTTTATGCAGATGTCATACTATATATCTAATTGAAAGGGACATCAAAACTCCAAAATGTCCCAAAAATTCTCATGACTTTTGCAAGTATGTAACCAAAATCTATCATGATGTAAAGGATTTAAATATATTTATGAAATATTGCAAAATTGGAAAATAATTTTTCCTTTGCTTGGCAACAGCTTAAAGCATACCTCAACAGTTCATTTTCAATTTACCTCTCTTTGGTGACACAGTTCCTTAGTAAACTTGTGGGCCTCTTCTCCCCATGGTTCTCCTTCTAACATGCCGCCTCCTGGACTCGGTCTAGGACCACGTGGACAACTGATGCCTAAACAACAGAGAATTTTTAATATTCAATAACTAGCCCCAGAAGTATAATATGATAATAAGTGGAGAGGATAAAATCTGAAACTTAAGGCACTTTTATCATATGAGTGCCCATACAGAGGTGTAAGTCTGTAAGAATACTGAGGTAAAGATAATTGTACCATCTGAAAGATCGGATTATTTCCTTTTTTTTTGTAATACATTTGTAAAAAAAGCTCATTTTCATCCTTATTTATTATTAAAAACTATAAAGTTCAACTATCAAAAATGCACTTTTTGTTTTAAAATTTCCAATCCGCTACAGCCAACATACAGTTTGAAAGGTTTATAAACAGATGTAAATTTCATAGGTAACTTTCATAAAGAAAATAGGAAGATAAATACTATCTATTTATAGTAATTTTAATAATATGTAAAATATTCTATTGTACAACTTCTTTCAACAACTGGGCTAGCTAACACATGGTATCAAAAATGTGCTCACATGTTGGAATGAAATAGATATAGAAAAATAACATGGCTGTACAAAGAGATAAAATTTTGCCTAAAAGATGAATACAAAGTTATATTTATGGGACAATTATTTTGTGAAATGAATAAGATAACAACAAAAGAGAGATACCAAAAAAGTCCTTAGTCATAAAATTGATTTAGTCTGTACAATAACCATGTATAAAAAATAGCTTTAAAATCAGCAGTTATTGGTGTATTGTTTATCACATTGTGGTTTTTATTTACAATACAAAAAAATCAAATTCAGGTTCAAAAACATTCAACAGTAATCACATTTTATATTTGAAGTGTCTGTATTTCACAGCAACTATGAGCCAATTATGACTCCTCGTTTTGGCCAGTTGCAATGACATTCTAGCTTAACACAAGATCTCTCCCTCAACCAGAAGCACCTTAGATGTAGGGATTGGATGTAAAAAACCTGGGATATAAGTAAAAAACCTGAGATATTAAGATTTATAGTTTCCAAATTGAACAAAACACGACCGAATTATGACTAACCACATAATCAGCAGAAACCCCACTGTTAATGACAGTAATTCTTGTTTGTAATCAACAGGTCCACTACATGTACCTCCTTCTTCTTTGTTCATCATTGTATCTGCTTTTCAGAGCAGAGCCCAACAGATCTTCAGCAAATAGCTCCAAGCCCCACTGACCATAACTGAAACTTTGTTACACTTCGACATGTCATCATCAGTCACCATTATTCCCTTCATTACCTAAACATGCAAGGTTCCAAGATGTTCAACTTGCAACTTGCAGCCACTGTGGATGCGATCACAATGGACTTTATGACAGCCCTTGATGAGACATATCCATCTATCAAGCCCAAAGATAATATGATGGCACTCAAAAATAGGATTGGTGCTGACAAGGACAGTGGAGATAGTAGCAGTGGCCTTCCACCAGATCAGACGATCAAGAATAAGGTCTCCAACCTCAAACAGACAATGAAGAAAGGTCACATGATTTGAGAATTAAAAAATAGCAATCAATTTTTGTATATGACTGTTGCTGGTAAGGGTGGTGCGACCACTCTGAAACCCTGCATCTCTTTGACTACACATAACTCCTGAATGCATTATGTTACGATTATACGGATTACATATTTAGATGCAGCAGATTTCAGACTTTCCAACAGCATATGCAAAACCTCCAAAAAACAATTACCAGAATTTCTCGTTCCTTGCCCTGCCATGCAAAAACATTATTTTGTTTCTTCTTGAGGGAACTATCCTGCATTAAGATAGGCTTAAGGGCACAATTCACTAAAAAACAGGGAGGAAAAAACGTGGAAATCTCTCAGAAAACAAACAAATTTAATCAATCTTGATTATTAAGATAATATTTATAGTTTTTCAAAACCAGTAATTGATTATAAAAATTGCTCAAATTGTATAAAAATTACAAAGACAACAAAAAAAACTGGAAAAAGCATAGTTATGAGGGATAATTACTAAAATCTGAAGTTACTAAGAGTAAAAAAAAACAGAAAAGGCAGAAAGAAAACAAGTATGCATTTTCTCAGTTACCACAATGATGCTCAAGTTCAAGTTGTCAATTATTTTCACTTCAAATGTTAGATTTTGAAAATCACATTGTTATTAATGCCATTAGATACTTCTTTTCAACTATACAAATTATGTTCATCTATCTTCAGTGACAAGAAAATTTTTAACTTTCATCATGAGCAAAATGTTTGAACTTACCAGTCACATAAGTAATCAAAGATTAATAGTCAGACTTATTTCATAACTTCAATGTTATAACCCTATGCATAATGACTTGCCAATACATTTACGGGTCAAATTAATGGACATTATCATATTGCAATTCAAACTTACCTCCTAATAAAAATGTAATAAGACAGTTTTCCCTTGAAACAAAGATACGCAATCTTGATCCACTTGCCACAAACTCGACCACTCCTTCCATTCTGCCAGCTCTTTGTAAGAATGGGAAAAACTGTTTAGACTTTGACAAGTCCTAACAAAAAAAGTACATACTTACAATTAACTAATGCACATATGGAATAACAGCTGTTAATTTTGTATCTTAATCATTTCAGTATCTTTGAAATAGCAAGAAACAGAAAAAAATCTTATGAAGAAGAAATCACAAGTTTTGTAGTCAACTATAAAGAAACTTAATTATCTTTTCTTTTAAAATTATAACGATGAAAACTTACCACGTCATAATTTTCTTTCCAGTTAAGAACAACAAAAAAAAAAAACCTGCCACAAATGAATTATAAAAGTGTATGAACAAATTCAGACCAATAAAATTAACGACTGTAGGAGATACAATGTATTAACAAACTCTATTCAGTTTTTTAATTAGGAAAGAACATTTTTATTTGAAAAATCTTATCATGAATACAGGAAAACTGGCAGATGAAATAGTATTGTAAAATAGTTGCTTAGTGCTATTAATATAAAACATCACCCCAGACAAGTCTACTACACGGCGAACTGGTGTCTCCTTTTTGCTATGAAGTCCTTTTCCCGATTTCTGAGCTTTCATCTCAGATGCAAGAAGTTCATCATAGTGTGTTGATCTCTGGTCATCATCCTGTCTATATCGAACAACTGTGGCTAAGCCCTTGCTGATAAGTGCTTCTGCAACATTTCTAAATAAATAACATGTATAATAAATAAGGCTGAAAGAAAACCAAAAACAATTTTTATTTCAAATTTGTCTGGATGTATAAAAGTTTTATTTATTTTGTTTTTTTGATACTTTACAATAAACTGTGTTCACCCAGTTTTTAGCATTATAAGTCAGAGTTACTGATGAGCTACTGGGGGGGCGAGTTTTATATAAGTATTAAACGTAATACTGAGAACAAAGGTGTACTTGTATACTAAAATGCAACAAACAAAAAAACATCTTGTCTTTCTAATATTCAAACATACTTAGGTAAAATGACTAACAAGTTATAAACTATTAGACAAAGATGTTTTAATGAACATTACAGTAATCCAAATTTTTAAGATACTTACTGTCCCCCAACAGTCACAGTACAGCATACTTTCTCTGGGAAAGAGTTTGAAGCTGGTTGAATGTAATCTTTAGACACATTCACCTTTTTTCCAATCAATTTCTTCCTAAGAAATTCTCGTGCCTCATACATGTAAGGAACGTCATACAAGGGTCTGAAAGATCGGCCTTTGTTGTCTTTTTGAATTTCACTTTGTTTATCTTCAGAAAGTCTAGAAAAGATCACATATTTTACAATAGAAATTTTAAAGTGAATAAGTATCTCCATATATGGAAACTAACAAGACCAAAATATTTATGTGAATCACTTTCATATTTTTTACAAAACAATTACACTATTAATTTGTCCTACTAAAGTTGATAATATTAAGACATTGTTAGTTTATAGTTAAACACAAAGCTGTACAACTGGTATCAAAATCTGGTTTTCAGTGTTACAAACTTTCAGACTTCCTGCTGAAACACTGAAAGGCAAATTTAAACAACTGACAACATTTGCAAAACAAACACTGGGACTAATCAACCTGACTCAACCAAAAATAACAACTATTCCCTTTATTTCTTCATGCAAAAAATTTTATTTTGGATGCAATGACCCAATCATGTAATATTTAGATATACTCAGGCACAAAAATGCAGAGAATATGAATAACTGTTTCAGTAAGCATACAGTCATGTTACAAAGCACAAGTTCCCAGGAGCTGTTTGCTTTTGATAGAAGATGTATTTGACATTTGATTGTTTGATGAAGTTTTCACTTTTTGCCCATCTCAGGCATGATAAGTTGACCACAGTTTGAGATGCAGTGGTGTTGTTAGTTGTTTGTTCAGCTTTGGTTTTAACATTTGAATTAGGAGCGCTTCCCTTTCCTTAATGTCCATTCATCTGTCGCTAAGTCTATTATTTTGAAGTGTTTGATGTTAGGCTTCTCACTGCAGTTTTTGCTGCTGAGATTGTTGTAAATTTCAGTTGTTGGAAGAGCTGTTTTGCATATGCTCCTTAACCCTGGTAGCTAGGGCTCAGGTTGTTGACCCAGTGTAGCCATGCCTACAGCATGGACACATGTATTGATACACCACCAGCAATTTTTCTGAAGGAGGTATTTTGTCTTTAAAAAGGAAAAAAGTTACATATTCGTTTGTTTGGTTTGAAGATCACTCTTAGGCTGATTTAGGGATAAGCTGATTGCAGAATGTTCTTTACAAGAGAATTTAGTTTTTTCATGTGAGACACTTTAATACACAAGCGTGTTTGTTAGTATTAAGTTTTAATAGGTGCACATATCTTAAGAAAGTATGTTGTGTGTTGTATTACTTCTCTTCAGATAGACCATTAACCTTATTCTGTTTTATGTATAATTATTAGCGATATTTGGTCCTACCTTGGGATATAGACTTATTCAATTTCCAAGTTTTTTTGTTTTTTTTAATAAACAAAAAATAATAATAATACTAGTGCCAGTTAAGTTAGTATTTGAATTTGACTTTTTTTTTTATTACTACTTCCAAACTGAAAATGTACATTTAATCTCTACCTTCTGAAGAAATACATAAATTTGATTTTTTTTTAGATAATTAGTTTTTACATTATCAACAGGGAGAATGTGTTGTTGTAATAAAACCTTTATTTGTGCATATGTAGTACGTATCTGTAAAATGTTGTATATTTTTGAGAGGATACAATGATAGTGCATTTTGTTTTATCAAGCATAATGGATTGATTAAATAAAGAGACACCCCCAGTTTGAGCACTATTTCATTTCTGTATTCATACGTAATACATAAGATGAGTCTATTTTTTCACCAATGCTCAATAGATGTGTAGATTAGAAGTTTTCTAATACTACAGAGACACCAACATGAACAGTAACAAACTCAGATTAACAAAACCAGAAGAGTATACTGAAGACTAAAGTTTTGCCATAACAAATACCCACCTAAAGTCTGACTACAATCACAGAAAACCCAACTTACAGATGGCTATTACAAGAAGATCAAATTCAAATCAACTGCTAAAACAGGGAAAAATATTAACCAATTCCTCCTGAAAAACTTTAAATAGAACTTGGAATAAAAACAGGCAAACAAAATCCTCTCATAAGAAAGGCTACCCTCTCCAACTCCAATGTTAAATTCAATAATTCACCATGCCACTTGTATATTGTATAAATATAATATCACCATTACTTTGTAATATATTCTAACTTGTTAAGAATTTTGTCCACTTTGTAGAGATCATAAAAAGCAACTATGATAACCTCACGAGACCCAATGTTCAGCTTTGATATATCTAACCGATTCACTATTTGTATGTAACAACCTCTGAAAACCTACAAACACCTCACTATGATAGAACTTTCAAGGAACGTACCCAACTGACAATCACCATGATGGTACAACTCAAATTCACAAACTGTATTAACAACTTAATTCCAACATGAATATAAATATTATCAACAACAAGACCTAGCTATTAGCTCAACCCATCAGAGTACTTGATAACCTCTACACGGAAAAATTTTGAAAACAAAACAACAGCTCTAAAACCCAGGATTTAGTTCATATATGCCATTCATACATTTGTAACATGGCTACACACTACAGACAGGATTCCAAAATTACTGAAACATCTGAATAGACAACATCCAATGAGACAATTCGCAAATTTCTAAATGTGATATTTACCAAGACATATAACTCGCATACAAAAAGGATTTAAAGAAAATCCACAAATACAGGTACATACATGAACTCTGGACCAAACCAGCTCAACAATGTAAAGAAAAGCATAACAGACTTGAATAGTTTCTAGAAGGAATAAGGTTTTTAATACAGAAGATGCTAAGAAGAGTGATGAAAAACATCAACACAACTTCCACCCTGAATGGATACCTTGACATAAAAGGAAATAAAGAAGAGAAACACCAAAGATAAGCAGGATAAACATTACAAACATACAGCCATATATGCCTATGTAAAAAGTCATCCACCAAACATGTAAACACAAAGTCAAAACAGTATTCAAAAGCCAAAATAAAATATGGTCATAGTTAGTATCTACCAAACCACCTAAATATCCAACAGAGAACAACAAACATTATTTACAACACCCCAAGTAATTGTGAATTTCAGTTAACTAAAAAATAAAAAGACCAACAGAACTCAGAATTCAGGAGCATAATCAACATACAAGACTCTTTAATACCGATTATCTACAATAGCCAATCATGTCAGTGAATAAAATCATAGGATAAAATGGAATAATACTAAAATAATGGGATGCAAGTCACACACGAGAAAAAAGAAAGGTTACAGAATCCTGCTACTCTTAATTAACCCATAACACACTCAGTCAACCAAACACACAAGTCAATAAAACCTAGGTATCCTCTCTTGAAAATATTCAAATAATTAGCAACTTAAGGCATAATGGAATTGAGAGCCTGGACACCTAGAAAAATCATCTACTTTTTTAACAAGACCAAGGTTTGAATTCTAGCTCCTACCATTATGTGAAGTCTTTCTCAGGATCTTTCTGAAAATGAAAACAGATTAGCAGCCAAAACAGGTAATATAAACTAATTAGTATCTACAATAACAAATGCAAAGTAATTAATTGGTAATTAGACTTAGGTTATATCCTACTAAACTTGAGAATGAAACAATCATGTAATACTAGGTGTTACATCGTAATAAGGTATAAAACTAAACTTCCCAGCAGCTGATAAAGATTTCTATTCAAAATAAACAATCACGCATGTGTTATGCCTCATTGAGTTGAAAAAGCTATATATATATATTTATTTTTTTTCAACCTACCTCGGAGGTCTTATGCTGGATAGAAAAACCTTCATCAGAGTTCCATTGCTAAGTTTTATCACAAGGGAATCAGCATTCACAACTTCAACAACTTTGCCTGTGAACTCTTTGTCTTTGGAATCAATAGCTGGTCCACTAGGAGTGTAATCTCTCCAAATTCTCAACCTTGAATCCTTAGCTGACCTAAAATGTATGTGTATGATTAACATCTTGGAATAAGTACAATTTCCAAACATATAATTAATTTAAATTACATCAATTTCCTTTTTCTTTTTAAATCTATAAATTGATTTATTAATAATTATTCTATATTTCACATTCTTTATATCTTTTTTTTCTTTTACATTTTACAGTGAAGACTTGATAAAAAAAAACTAATGATCTCTTCCAGAATTATTTTCATAAATTTTGCAGATGAGTTTTTTTTGCTTTTTAAAACTAATGTCAATATAAAATAAGAACACCTTTCTGCTGCCCGCAGCTTATCTGGTCCCCCAGTGACAAATGTAATACTCCAGTCAACACATCGAGCAAATCCTTCTTTCAGTAGTAACTCTGCAATGTTTCCATTCTGCACAGAATAGAAGAAAGAAATTAAATCGACTTGCTACTGTAATGTAATCCCTATTTTTAAAAATATTTACAAAGACCTAAATTTACTAGTAATTTTAATGAGATTCTATTGTTTCACAAATATTTAGCATAAACTAGATATAAAATGATGGAAAAACTTGTACTACTAATATCTACTAAAACATACTTTTAACAAATATATTCTTCAATTTAAAAATAACTGCATAACTACAAAATGTTTACTTTTTGTTGTGTTGAGGCAAACTAGAAATTTTAACAAATCTCTATCATTAGGAATGTTTCCTGTTTGATTGGAGCTGCTAAGCATTTTACTACTTTAATGGAGCTACAGAACATTTTAACTACTTGACTGGAGCTACTAGGCATTTTAGTTATCTATTTTTTACGACAAAGAACTTTGATCACAAGAATGATTGGTTTGGTTTGTTTTGAATTTCACGCAAAGCTATACAAGGGCTATCTGCACTAGCCATCCATAATTTAGCAGTGATAGACTGGAGCTAGTCAACACCATCCACCACTAACTCTTGGGCTACTCAAATAACTAAGGAATAGTGAGATTGACCATCACATTACAATGCCTCCACAGCTGAAAGGGTGAGCATGTTTAGGGACAGGGATTTGAATCTGTGACCTGCAGATTGTGAGTCATGTACTCTAACCACCAAGCCAGACAGAAGATGCAAGGGAACATAGCAATATGTATACTGTTTGGAATTTTTACCACATGACTAGAACTATCTGGAAATTTAGTAACACATCTCTACCAGTTACAATACTTACCACAACACTTGATCTAACTGGTATTTTAGCAACATAACTCCGCTGTTAAGAAAATTTACCCCAAAACTGGAACTCTGGTATTTTAGCAACATATACGCGCTGATAAGAAAATTTATTACAAAACTGGAATTCAATGGTATTCCAGCAACATAGCTTTGCTGTTAAAAAACTTTACCATAAACCTGGAACTGGTATTCTATCAACACATCTCTGCTGTTAAGAAACTTTACCATAAAACTGGAACTAGTATTCTACCAACATAACTCTGCTGTTAAGAAACTTTACCATAAACCTGGAACTGGTATTCTATCAACACATTTCTGCTGTTAAGAAACTTTACCATAAACCTGGAACTGGTATTCTTTCAACACATCTCTGCTGTTAAGAAACTTTACCATAAAACTGGAACTAGTATTCTGCCAACATAACTCTGCTGTTAAGAAACTTTACCACAAGACTGAAACTAGTATACTAGCAACATAGCTCTATTAATTGGCATATTTATCACAAAAAGGGACCTAATGAAACTTTTACCACAACACTAAAGTTAACTCATCTTAACATTAAATCTCAAATTCAAAACGTCCACAAGAGCAGAATGAGTTTGTTTCCTAACAATTAATTTGTACAAAGTCAACTTATTCAAGATCAGCTTACTGGATGCACAATACTTCCAAGGAAATTCTGATTGGACACAGATTCAAGGATCACTTCCACTTCTCGTTGAAGAAGTCGACACTCTGTGAAAAATTTTGCTTCATCAGCAAAAGGTTCTCCTACTTGTGTCTGCCCATCTTCTGATGTTTTGAAAGTTGGACACTGAAAATTGAAGAAACAGTATATACACACATACACATTATCAATGAAATAAAATATCTTAGAACTCTACTGACCTTAAAACTTTGTAAGAGCTCAGAATTTACTCTTTCATTTAATCATTTGAGTTTTTTATTTTTCTTAAAATCAATGAAATCACAAAATATCTGAAATTTAAGTTACTTTATGGTTATTTCAACTAAAAGTCTTCAGTTAAATACAAAGATATAAATAAATACTTTGTTTTAATGGTAACTCATAGCTGAAACCACACTATTCACACACACACAATTTCTCCATACTAGTTTATCATATCTTTTCAGATTGTGTCTAACAAGGGTTGGACCACACTGATAAAACTGAAGAATCTAAGATTTAGATTTTTTTGCTTATTTTGAAATTGATCAAAGTTTTTCAACATAATAAGCAGTTCTTTTGACACATATTTATTTGATAGCCATAGAAAAGGTTTATACAGAGAAATTTTAACTCGAGGAAAGTAAACTCTCTTTTCTGCTACCACCGTCATAGTCAACATCTGTAAAATATTCAGTCTCGACCCACATGACAAAAGAAGGATTAAAAACTAACTTCAGAATAGTGCTAAAACAGACAAGTTATCATTAGTCATTAATGTAAAAATGATTAATATGTCCTGGTAAGATCACTGTTATTTCACGCACAGCTTCATAAGGTGAAAACAGTTCCTAAAATTACTGTGCTTATGTTGAGAACTGTTGATTTACCCTAATTCCAGAGATCATGACTGTCAACATATAGTAGTCCGGAAGAAGTAAAACTCGGAGTGTACTTCCATCCCGAACATGTTCAACAATAGCCTTCACTGGTGCATGATGAAGAGAATCAATGAAGTTCCGAGGGTTTTCCACAGTGTACTTCATGTCTCTAACATGACTATGAGATGGATCAGTACTCCACTTTCCTTTTCCTGCAGCCTTGGCTGCATCCTCAAGTTCACAAAGTTTCTGCTGAATACTTAAAAAGAAAAATTGAAAATTGAGTTAAATATAAATTAGTTTTATTTTTTACATTCAACATGTCACATAAAATTACTAATATTACCATACTGAGTTAGCTTGATGAAAAATGTTGTTGTTTTGTTTGTTGTGAAGCACGAAGCTACAAAATGGGCTATGTGTGATCTGCCCACTGTAAGTATAAAAAGCCCTTTTTTTTTTCATTGTAATGCCTTGACTTACTGCCGAGCCAATGAGGAGAGGGGCCTAAAATTAAAATAAACAAATTTATGTAACTTACTCTGAAGGTTTTACACCTGTTCTTCTAACTTCAACAAGACCCTCAACAACTAGGCTCTCCACTATATTCTCACCAGAAGTATCTGGAAATGAAAACTGCATTTTAACAACAAAACACTTAATCATAAAAGTTATTAAAAGGTACATAACAAAACATAAAAGGGATATATACACACACACTCCGATACCAAAAACATAGAACAGATATTACAACATTTCAAGGTTACTAAATTATCAATATATCTCAGAACAGGAAAAACTATAAAAAATAACTTGAAAAAAAAGTCACATGAAACATACACCAACTCTGGTTGCACATACAAGTTAAAATCACATAAAGATGTATTTCTTGAAATGTACTTCCAATATTATTCACTGTCACTAAATATCAAACTAAGAGAATGTAATGATGAGATTGACTACTAAATTAAACACGAAACAAAACATTAACTGAGTTGCATCTCAACTGTTATTCATAATACACACCTTTCCCAATGAAAACCAAACCATACTCTCTCGTGGAGTTGGGGACTTTATACTCAATTGTAAAGCAAACTTCTTTTCCAATAAGCTTCTTTCTCAGAAATTCTCTTGCTTCCCATGCATATGGCTATTTATATACAAATCTAATTAGCTCTGACAACTTTTCAAATCCTTTTAAGAAAATTTCTAACAGCTTAAGCCTTTCAAAATAATAGGTGTAAATATTTATAGCAAATTAGATTAAACAATATTGTCATGTTTTTTCACTGGATAGCCAATATATTATGGTTCATCATTATTTTACATTAAAAAAGAAAGTAAGATAAAAGTGGGTGATGAAGTTAAACTTTTATCATGGTTTTTATATTTAGATTTCAATTATTACAAAATGCCTCTTATCATTATAAGCAACAATCACATGACAATAGCATTTTGGTATGAGAATGGTGTTTAATAATTATCTTTCCATCACAGGGAACATTCAAATGGATATTACACAAACATATTTGACATCATTCTTACAATTAAAAAAAAAAAGTTAACATATATCTTCTTTTGTTAGAAAAGTGCAACCAGATCCAAAGCAAGTTAAAACAGACATTGTATGATATTGCACTACTTATGCATAGAAGTCAGCCTTTTTGTTAGTAGGTGTTCTCTCTAAATCAGTACTACGACATCATGAATCTTCAAATACATTTGATTGTAAACTAAACAATTATTTGTGCTTTAATGAATAGTTCAATTGCTAGTTGGTAATAACAATAATAAAAACTTAAAAAGTGGCTAGTAGGAGAAATGCAAATTTTCTTTACAATGTAGTTCTTATGTACAGAGATTTTCAACTCAATTATGATGAATAAAAAGCTTACCAACTTGACATGTAATTTAGAATTCTGATGGTAGATTATTCATAAAAACTACAGGTCAGCTACATAAAGATAGTCATCATCATACTTAATAGCCTATATGATATCCTAGGTTTAATTACTAACTTTTTTTTAATAATTTAAAAATATTTAAAAGTAAATGTCTTAAGCTTTCAACCAACAAATTATGACTTCTGAATCCAACCCTATGTCTTTGCATTTGTTTATGTTTAGGTAGTTGCTTTTATTGAGTGAAAAGTGGGTGTTAACCTTAGGCTTTGGCTTTCTATAACTACTAAGCATTGGTAGTGTAGTGATAATGAATACAGGGTTATGTAACAATACTTTGAATTTTGATTTAGAATACGACACTTAACATTTTATCAATTACTTGTTTTTTAAATGTACAACAATACCTCATCTTTGGTCTCTTGAGATGTATCAACATTAGGGTTTCCACGACGAGACAGTTTGGAGGCATTAACATATGACAAGTTAATCTGCTTCTCAGGTGGTGGGCCTCCCCTTGGTTGACCTCGAATGATAATAGCATCACCAGAGAGTACCTAAACAAAATAATCAGTGATTATTAAGATGTATATATGTATTTTTTAATGATAATTGCTACTTCAGAGAGCATGAAAACAAAATAGCCACTGATTAATATATGTGATGTAAATATCCATTAATGATAATTGTAACTTATAAGCAAAAATAGGGCCAGCAAGATATTCTGTTGAAATTTTGAACTTAATCAAGTGAGTTGTTGAAATGTATTTGTAAATCAACATACTTCCTCTCCCAAAACAAGCTGAGAGCCAAGTTTAAGTAAACTTTGAGTAATATTAGTCACCAGAGCAACTGAGAAAAATTTAATGATATTTCTTCAGATAAAAATATTTTAAACAGCAGTTGAATATTAATTATAATAAAACTAGATTATATAACCTTGTATGCAAAATAATAAAAGCACAGAAAAATACACACACATATATATATATATATATAATATTAGCATCCCATTACAAAATACCAACAATTATACACTGCTCCAATTAATTTTTGCCATAATCAGTACAGTACTGATCAGAGATTGCTTATATCATTATCTTTCAAAGGTGGTCAGTAATTCAGTATCACAGGCAATCATCTTATATGCTGGTATATGAACAATCAGTATTGAGGGAGCCAGCTATGCAAGGAGGCAGTGTCACACTCCTATTGATGCAGGGTTGTCACAAACCCATTTACATGCAACAATATCACATGGCATGTGAAAATGTTTTGATATAGAGGGCAGCACTGAATCAGGAAAGCTAGATGTGAGAAGTGGTTATGTACTGTACCAGAAATTCCATTATTCCAGATATAACAGTGTTCCTTTTCTAACTGACTTACAATGTTAGTTTTAGCTGCTACACATATCCACCCTCATTGATTCATTTCTCTCTCTCTATATATATATATATATATATGTATATTGTTCCAATTTACATTTGAAAAGCATAATAAAGCCAGGATTCACCAGTCCTTTGATTATAAGGGAGAAATATAAGACTTTTTCAAGAGCCTATTTGTCATATGGCAATCTTAAACTTCACACTACGTTATATGTTGTTTTTTTTGTGACATTTTCAATTATTTCATACTGTATGGAATTAACAATTGAAAATGTTTACCATTTTTTCAAGCAGATTTAAAAACTTGAGATTGATGTCTGTTTTGACAGGCACATCTTGAGATCGAAGTCAACAGTGCAATTATATCATAGTTCAACTTCAAAATATGACACTCAGTTGTAAAATCCTAGTATCAGTCTAGTAATAAGATGTCACAATGCTTTACTTCTCATACAGAATGGCTATGTATTGAAATAAAAATTCAAGTTGTTATTTTTAAGTTATCCCTATAATGGAATTCACATTTCACACAAATATAACTTTAAAAACTCTTATTTTTTGTATACAATATACTTTTCACGTTTACTAAAAAATTGCCAATTTTTGTGAAGATACACAACACTGCTAATGGCAGATGTGATATGCACGCTTTTGGGATTACAAATGAGTAGAGACCATAAAACCAGTTTAAAATGAAGGGAGATTACCAAGAAATGGCTTAAATCTATCAGGACACTCATAATCGCAATATATTGATAGTTTGATGCATAATTACACTTCTAGTTATCTTTGCTTTCTTCTTAAGCACAATGCAAGAATCTACACGAAAAAATAGCCATTTTCACAGTGTGCAACCAGTAGGCACATCAATTCATACTTTAGCATATTGGTAATAGTACATCTGTAGCTGATAGGTGTAAAATAAAAAATAACACATCTCTCTCAAAAACTTGTGCATATTTTACATGGATATGCTAGTTACCTGGAGCACTGATTATATATAGTAGTAGCACCTCTTCAAAAAATACCCATATTTACATGTAGTACCAGCATCCCCTTAGAATAACCAGTTACATATAGTAGCACTAACTCCCTATTAGAACAACCATTATTTTTCAGTTCTTCTAGATAACTTGCAAGCCATAAACAAAACAGTTTAATGAAACATTTTATTTTAACTCATAAAAAGCAGGTAAAACTAGTTCTACTGCTTTTAAAAAACAAGTAAGTTAAACAGGATCAATGAACTAAACTGGACAGGGAATATGAAATTCCTGAACTTAACACAATTTGAACAAAGTTCTCAGTAGTAAAAAATACAGAATAAAAACACCAACCACTATGTCATCCAGAACCTCATCTCAAGAGAATTAAGGAATGAAAAGACAATACAGCAGATTGTGAGATATATATATATATATATATATATATATATATATACCTAACTTAAATATACAATAATATAGACAATAGTATACTACACATGAC